AATATTCTGCCCAAAGCATCCTTGATTACAGCAACTCTAGGTTTGAATCTGTTCTTCAGTTCCTTGAGCTTAAGAAATGCTGAGCGAGTTTGGCCCTTTTGATTTTCTGGCACAATATTTACTTTTAAAGTGAAACAATCTGGAAAAGAAAATAAATCTGACTACTTAACAGTATCTTCCATCTATCTACGGGGAGGGGGAAAAATGGGTATTAGTTCTCTGGTGAATCTGGAGATAACGTCGGTTTTATGACTAAATTGTTAGGAAGAAATTTCCTCTTGTCTTATTAAGCAGTAAAAGTCATCATAGGACATAAGAGACTCTAAGAGTAAGAAAAAACCCTTTCCCATTCTCAAGTTCCAACTTAAAAAAGACTTGTTTCTTAATACACAACAAATACCTCATCTACTAAACTCACAAAGGGGAAGAAGTTTACAGCTAAGTTTACATCTGTTAAGTTACCCTTTTTTGATCCCTGAATCTACAATTTGCTAGAGGAATTACTGGATTTCATTTTGTTAATAAACCATACCCTACTCTAGAGAGTTAACCATGGACCGTTAAAGCACCTGAGGAGGAATTATGCTATGAGGTTTCAGACAGTGACCATGGTGCTGTATGTTACTGAATCTATGACAGGGACGACACACATCTCAATTGCCAAGATGTAGCCCAGGTAGATGACCCACAAGAATTTGCTCAAACAGGCTCTCTCCACCTTTACTCTGCTAAGGAGAAAATGCAGACTCCTCAGGTCAAAGAAGAATTTACTTCACGTGATTTCTGAAGTGAAGTGTGGACAACTGAGAATTTTCTCCAGAGAAGTAGTTAAAGTGTGACTTTCAAAAAGAAACATATACTTGAACATATAAATCTATATAGCATGTCATATACACCAAGCACAAATAAATTTTCCTTTTTTCCACCCCCAATATTAATCTGGAAAATAAAAGAAATTGGGCTACTTAGCTGCATCCAGTTAAAAACAGAGTAGGGGGAAAAATGCATTCATTTTCTTGTGTGTCAGGAGAAATACACTGAGAAGACTGTTTTTTAAAAAATGCTCTACAACAAGGGTGGTATCCATAGAACCCTTCCCACATGAGTATCAGTAATTAAAGGTAAGATTATTAGGTTTTCAGTCTTCTATTTAGGAAACTCTCAACATAGTAAGATAGATGTATCATTGGCAGAAACAAAGTGGATTTTGGCTACTGCTGAGTTCTATCAAAGGAAATGAAGTGGAATACCAGGTAACAGCTATTGAGCCCATAAACATGACAATTCCACCACTTTTTCTCATTTTTGTTTTATTTTTAGACACCTGGAAGGCATTACGGAAATGAGCTGGTCATTTAAGAGAATTGAGATACACCATTTGGGGGCACCAAGAGACACATACATAGTAATGGTTGGAATAGAACCTATTTTGCAATCTCCTAGACTTGAAATTGTATGTCTGGCCCAAAGAAAAGATAGTAGTGAGTGCACTGTGGACCTTGTAATTTTAGTTTCCATGAAGAAACTAAAAAAACCCTACTGGTATATTGTTAGGTGCTGTCCAGTCAACTACAACTCATAGAGACCCATGAACAACAGATCTGAACTGTGTCTTATCTTATGCCATCTTCATCATCTATGGTATACTTAAGCCTATCAGTATATATCCTAAAAGAAATCAGAGTTGTAGCATTAATAGATATATGCATATTCATTGCAGCATTACTGACAACTGTATTTACTTTTGAAAATTGATAGTTGATGTTAATCAATAATGTTCTTTCTGAAGAGAGCTAACTAAATCTTTGCTGTAGCATTGGAATTGAATCATAGTTGACCCTGTAGTCTTCAGAGGCTGTAAACTGCATGGAAGAAAATTGTCCATTTTTCTCCCAAGGAGCAGCTGGTGGATTTGAACCACCAGCCTTTTGAGTTGACAGTGCAACTGCTTACCTACAGGATCACTGGAGCTCCCCATGAAACAGAAGGCAGTATAAATAAAGAATAATAGATATGTATACTGACAATGCACAGTCATAATAATTTTTATGTCATACTATTCAAACTTTCTTAATAGTTTCTCCATAGAGGGAAGGCAGAAACTTCTATAGAGCATCACTGTAAACATTTTCCATATACTACAGGCAGTTGATGGCTCATGTTTGTTTTTTTGTTGGTGGTGGTGGTAGTGGTGGTAGTATGTGTACATTTTTTTGTGGTAACGAGAAAGAGGTTAATAGGGAAGTTAGAGAGTGGGGAAGCAAAGAATACCACCCAATACAAATCCAGATTTTAGCCTAGCAGTTCCAAGGCAAAATTCTCAATTAGTCAAGGCTCTAGTTTCAGTTCAGCAACACAAATTCAAAAAGCCTCTGGTTTCCTCAGTTATTCAGTAAAGTTTGTTTCAGAGCAATTATAAGTCTCCTTAATTACCTAGCAAGTAGAGCAAAACCTTTAACTGTGGCCTTTATCTAAGGGTTCTCTGCTTATACCTTGTTACAGTTTCTCCACAGCAATGTCACAGTCTCTTCACCATCATCACCAGGGTCTTACCATCTGGGTCTCACTCTCACCAGGGTCTTTCTTCAGTCTCTCTCAAGTCTTATCACCAAGTTTGTGAAGCATTCTCTCTCTCATCCTAGTCCCATAGCTGTTCATGATTTTTAAGACTATGTGCCTGCATTTAAGGGAGACCAGAGGGGAGCTGAGGTAATGGATTAAAAAAAGCCAACTTTAGGCTAACACCTCAGCCCATCTCCTATCTTTTCTAGACTAGGGACTTTTTCAGTTTTTAAAACTCATATTCATTATTCTAAGTTGAGGGACATCCATGTTTTAGCAAACTAACAATCAAAAATAATTTAAGAGACAGTGATTTCAAGACCTATCAAACTCTAATCAAAAGGTTCGAATCTACTAGTCGCTCCTTGGGAGAAAGATGAGCACAGTCTTCTCCATACAGTTTTACACACTCAGAAAACCAGTGGATGGTCACCATGACTGGGAATCAACAATAGTGGTTATATTTTGTGTTTTATCAGTTTATATATTTCCTAATGTAACTGTTTTCCCAATTAAGGCATAATCCAAACAGAACAAACTAATTTGAAGTCATTACTTACCAGAATGTAGAAAATAATTTCCCCACTGCTTGGACTGATGGAAGACCTCACATTGAGCAATTTCATTCTCATGATGTGGAAAAGCTAAATCTATTCCACCTGAATGAATATCCAGTTGACTTCCAAACACCAAACTGCAAGAAGTGGAGCAGTAAAGTGATTTAATTCAAATAACATATTTTTTTCCAAACCACATCTTGTACTTAATTCTCCTAGCTTTTTTCTGTAATGAATAAAAATAAATGGATCTCAATTTTAAATCAATTTGCATGATAATTTAACTGATGGAGACTTAAAATTGAAAGCCTATTTTTACTTCTTCATAAAGTCCCTAATGCATAGCTTTTCCTCCTACTAAACTCTTTGCTCCAGATATAATACATGATAAAAAAAAACCCAACCACCTTAAAAATCATCTTTGCTCACTCTTACCATCAGAGGTCAGTGGATTTCCTATTTCATGAGAGAGAGCAGGAAATAATACCTTTTTCTATTGTCTTTGGAAAATTTACTTCTAATGGTGGTTATATATAAATATCAAGGTGGTTGTTGTGTGCAATCAAGTTAAAACCAACTCACAGCTGACCCTCCAACAAGTTTTCAGAGTCAGTAAATTGCACTGGAGGAGATTGTCCATCCTTCTCCCATGGAGCAGCTGATGGATTTGCATGCCTTTGAGACTGCAACATAGCTTTTCACTACTGGGCTATCAGAGCCAAAGCAACAAATTTCAGTTGTAAGCATTTCACCTTTAATATTATGCTCTACATTCCTGAAACACTTAGTGTTCTGAAAAACTGCCCATTAACAGGGCTGACAGGAAAAAATGAGGCTGGGCAAACTATGCAAAATCTGTGCACCTTTGTCACCAGATAACCCATTCATGAAAAGTTTTTCCTGAAAAAATTTTGTGGAGAACTGACACCTATTCATTTTTAATGAGGGAGCTCTGGTGGCCTAGTAGGTAAGGAGTAGTGCTGCTAACCCAAAAGCAAGCAATTCAAATCCAGCAGCTGTTCTAAGGAAGAAAGAAGGTCAGTCTCTACCTGCGCAATTTATAGCCTTTGAAAACCTACTGGACAGTTAGCTATGAGTTAATGCCAACTCAATGGTAATGAGTCCTATTTTTTTTAAAAGTTCATCTTTAATAGTCCAGATTGACTAGAGGATGTTTCAGATAATACTAAAAATGGGGTAGGGAAGGTGATGGCAGAGGAGGACAGGGCGGGAAGAAGAGTACCAAGTTAAACAAACAAACCAAGGGAGCTCTGTTGGCCTAGCAGCAAGAATCTGTGCTGCAATCCCAAAGGCACATGGTTCAAATCCATCAGATGCTCCGCTGGAGAAAGAAGGGCAATCCCCGCCTGGGCCAGTTGGATCCAACTCGATGATACACATCAAGAAAGAAAAAAAAAGGAGCAAACTACAAAATCATGATGGAAATATTGGCATGTAGTTGAACACTGAGCTCTGAGAACTACAGGGAAGTGCAACCTCCACTAACGGAGAGCCTACAAGGCTGGGACCCAGAAGCTCATTTTTCTTCTAAGAAAGGAAAGCTGGCACAGCCAAGCTGAGGTCTTTTCCTTTCCAGTCGAGGGTCGAAGCTCAACTCCCACTGGTGTGGTTCGTTCCCTCTGCCTCCAAAAACAGCATGTGCACCAACCACATTTGAACAAATCGATGTTCTAAGTATATGAAGATAGCAAACCAGGTTGTACAATACTTTTACCTCTTTAGTGGTGGGTTTTAGAGTCTAAAATTATTTCGAACCAAAAATTAAAGAGAGAGTGATCACCTCTGAAAAATCGGAGAGACAGAATTTGGAAGGAGTACATAGAAACCTCAGTTTTCCTTGTAAGGGATCAATTAGCTTTCAAAAAGATCTGAAGCAAACATGAGATTATGAAGGCTTAAAAAAGATCAAATGTGGGTACGTGAGTGTTTGGTTCTTTCTGAAGAGAAATAAAAGTCCACTTTCACTGTTTAGATAATTCAACAAAAATAAAATTGTATCATGCTTGGGAGGATGGAGGGAGAGTGCAGGAGGGGAAGGCCCTCTATGAGGTGGATTGATTCAGTGACTGGGATAATCGGGATGTGTGTGTCAGAGACAGTGCGATTGGCACAGGACAGAGCAGAGTTTAGGTCTGTTGTACATAGGGTCGCTATGAGTCGTAAACGACTTGACGGCACATAACAACAACAATAACATTTGAAATTTACTAAATGTTTTTGTTACTGACTTTAGAGAAACTATCTGAATCTAAAAAAATTAATAATTCTTTGCAATGCAATTTTTATGTTACAGATCAATAAACATTTACAAATATATACAATAAAGGGCTGAATAGAGTTTTTATTTATTTGCTGTTTTTTTAAGTAAAAACTGGACCTTCAATACTAACAATGGAGTTTGATGACTCAGGAATTACTGAGTTTCTTCCCAAATGAAAGAAACTCTGGTGGTACAGTGGTTAAAGAATTCAGGTGCAAATCCCAAAGGTGACATTTCAATTCCACTAGCTCTGGTGGTTTCTTGTTATGTGCCGTTGAGCGGAAAATGACTCATAGTTGACCCTCCAGTGAGTTTTCAGAGGCAGTAAGTCTCATGGGAGGAGAAGGCCCACCCTTCTCTCTTGGAGCAGTTACACCTCTTTAGGATTGCAGTACAACTTCTTACCACAAGACTACCAAAGCTCCCTGGTGCTGAGCTATAAGGAATTACGCTGCCAATACAAAGGTACACAGTTCTAATCTACCAGCTGCTCCATGGAAAAAAGATGGGCAGTCTCCTCCTGTGTTATTCCTGCCTCTGTAAACCCACTGAAGAGTCACCTCTGAATGGATGGTACACAACAACAAGGAACTCTGTGGAGCTCTGGTGGCCTGGTGGCAAGGAGTCTCTGAAGAACAACTGGAGAGTCAATGATGAGTTGTTTCTGACTTGTTAGTACAATAACAACAACAATAACAGCTACTCTATAGGGAGCTCTGATGGCCTAGTGGGTAAGGAAACACACTGCCAACTAAAGGCATGAAGTTTGAATCCACCAGCTACCATGAGAAAGATGGGAAATCTTCTCCCATGTGATTTACAGCCCTCTTAAAAACTGGTTGAAGGCCAGCAATGAGTCCATTTTGAGGGCAAAACCAAAACAAACAAGGTATTTTCTGGAAGAAAGATAAAGTAGTCTGGTTCCATAAAGATTTACAGCCTTAAAGTTGAAACACTAGACTATGTATGGTAATATTTTAAATCTTATTTAAATACATATGAAAAGAAACATATATTTAGTTGGTAAGAAACACACAGTAACTTAAAAGGCATGCAAGATTTCTGAAAACTTTAGTCACAGAAACTTAATTCCTGTTGTTATAGGATGCTTTCATTGATGAGGCTGTGGTTGTTGCTGAATTTGGTTAGCTCACTTTTTTTAACGTAATACCTCAGAAATAAACCCAAAACTTAGTGACTTCTAACAATTTGGTCAAAATAGAATCTAGGTGAAGGATATAATGATGTTTACTGTACTTGTTTTTCAAATTTTATGTAAGTTTAAATGTTTCAAAGAAAAAGTTTGGAAAAGACCAAGGATGTAGACCTTGGTTTCTGAATCCCATTCTCCCCTTGAAGAAACTTGGCTTCTTTGTAGAGTGGCTGATTCCCTCACTGGAGCACAGAAAGTACAATGTGATCCTGTGCAATGCTGCTGTGTCAAAAAACAAAGAAGTGTTGAAAGAATAATGGGGACTTGTGAGCAGGGCACATGAATCAGCTGAAGGGGCAGTCTAGCAAGCTGGGGACAAAATGCGGATCAAAATAAAAGACAGTAATGGACATAACCTACTGAATAAAGTAAATATCCATGTGCCCACACTGATAGAAATAAACAAAAAATCCCAAGAAGGTAAAGCTCTTCCTCAGAGTAATAACAGCTAATAAAAAGAGATGAAATAACGGAATGTTTTATTTAGTTCTTTTGGCAACCACTATAGTAATAATTCACACAGATAACAATCATCCTAAAAGACTAAAACTATCTAATTAAAGTTGTCTGAAAGCAAGGCATTTACATAAGCCCAATTATTACTATTAGTTACAAAGGGCAAAACACTAACTGTTTGGGAGCAGAGCCTTGGAAAAACACCATGTTAACCAAAAGATGCAAGTTAACAGTACTACTAGTAAGGAGACAAAATAGTATTGTGTTTCTGGTGATATGATGCCCTAAGTATATAGCATCACATCTGTTTTTCCGTCAAAAATGCCTAATTTGAATCTACTCAAGAAGTAACAGACAGACTCAAACTAAGGAACACTATGAAAAATGACAAGCCTGTAAGTTTTAATAAAAGCAGCACTGATGGCTTAGTTCTTTTATGTTCTTGAGCTGCTAAATCAGAGGTCAGTAGTTCTAATTCACCAGCTTCTGCACAGAAGGGAAAAAAGCTAATCTACTCCCCATTGAGCTTTATAGCTTTGAAAACCTGATGAGGGATCACAATGAGTTAGAATCAATTCAATGTCATATGCTTCAATAATATCAAGGTTATGATACATAGAAAAAATAAAAAGACCAATCTAAAGAAAGAAACTGACTGTTGAAAGGAAAATATTAAAAATTAGAGCATAGAGCAAAAGCTGGAATCCACGAGCTGAGCTGAGCTGAGCTGCATTGAGACTCACCTGAAAGGAAAAAGGTTGGTGGGGAAATCGGCTGAATTCTCTTGAGCCCACTGGGACCTGGAGGGTCTGGGATGCGGCGTGGACAATAGGAATTGGATCATAACTTTTGTCGAAACTTTTGGTATTGGAACTGTGGGAACAAAGCCGCGTGGACTCGCAAAAACCGGAAGCCACTAGATGAGCTTCTAAGAGACCCATTTGAAAGGAGAAAACTTAGTGGGGAAATTGGCTTATTTCGCTTAAGCTCCACTAAGACTCAGTGGGTCTGTTGCATGACGTGGACAGTAGAAATTGGAATCAGAACCTCTGCTGGAGTGGACTCAGAACAAGCTAATAGCCTCAG